CGCGGGCCGGCGGGCTAACGGGCCACCTTCGCCTCTCCAGCCGCGGCCACGTCCCAAGCCCCCTCAAAATCCCTCGGGGCCGCGCCCCCAGAAGCCCCGGTCCCCTCCTTCCTGGCCCGCCTTCCGCAACCAGCCCCTCGGGTCCCGCCCCCTGCACCCCGTTTCCCATACTCGGTGGGATCGCATGTCCCCCACTCCCAGACATCCGCTTAGAACCTTGTCCCCCGGGGTGGCTCTCCGCAGAGCAGATCCGTGCGCCCCTCCTCTGAGCGTCTGTCAGTGTTCCCCACCCCCCGCACCCGAACCTACCTTCCAGGACCACATAACTAACCCCTCCGGCCCCCAGACCTGCCTTCCCTATTCTGGCCCGCAGCCCGGTCCTCGACTTCCCCTCCTCAGCATCCCTCCTGGACCCCCGGCACTCGTTTATGCTGCCACCCCATCATCCTTCCCGGGGTTGACCCCTCTTCGGGCTGAGGCAAGAGTGGCTCCACTGGGTACCCCACGGGCCCCCACCCTGGGAGACCCGCTCCGCCCACCTGCGCCCCGGTTCCGCCGCAGGCACCCCTCCCACCTCCCCACCTCGCACCCAGCGAACAGGCTAGAGGCCCCATTGTCCCCACTTCCCTTTGCTCCCCGGCGTCCCCGTCCCCCGCCGCGCTCTTGGCCCGCCCGCCAACGTCCCGGCTCACCTCTAGTTTAGGGCGGGCACCCCTCACCCGGTACGGGCGGGGGCGGACGGGCCGTTGGTCGGAGCCCGCAGCGCCCCCGGCCCCAGCCTCGGGTTCCAGCAGTGGCCGGACCCTCTGGAGGCGCAGCGCGGGCCCATGGCCCCGACCTTCCTCCGGGTCCGCCCGCCGGCGCCCCTGCCGTCCCTCCCCGCCGCCGGCCGCGTCACTGCGGCCGCCCCGCCCCTTTCCTGGGCCCGGTTGGCCCTCCCCACTCCCGCGGGGTCCCGGCAGCCCCGCCCGCGGCGGAGGAGGGCGGCCCCTGCCATCCTTACCCAAGCCGGCCGGGGAAGAGGCAGTTCTCCAAATGCTAGCGCTTTTTACTCCTTCTATGTTCCTTGGGATCCCCTAAGCACTCGTGGTTCCTATCTCCACCCTAGCCCAGCCCTTCTGGGTGCCCTGGAAATAAGGCAGGACCCCATCCCCATTCTCCCCAGCCCTCGAACCTGGGACCCGGGGTAGGGGAAATGCCTCAGCCCGCAAAGTCTGGCGAGAAGCAGTGGTTTAAGGCTTGCCTCTTCTGAGGGGCCGGGGTTCCAGTGCCCCAGGCCTCTAGGGTCATTCAGCTACAGGCAGAGGGCTGTAGGCACTCTGAAACCTTGGTCTAGCCCCTGAGTGGGGCCCCACGGCTTTCCCCACTGATGTCTTCCGGGTCCACAAGTCTGGCCAACCAGACCCTGGGCAAAGGCTGAGACACCTGAGGGCTGGGCTCATGGGACCACACCCAGCCAGCTAGAAGGTGCTGGGACAGTGGATGGCAGCATGGGGCTGGGTCTCACCCCTGTTGGAAGCCACTCCTCTCCCCTTGGCTCTGTTTCCCAGGTGCTGGGGAGAAGGAAGCAGTGTCCCCTCTCCTCTGAGTCAGTATGTATTCAGAGCCTCCCAGGGCTGACTTGGAGTTTAAGATGTTAGGGCATGAAGGCATGTGAGGGCCTGGCTTACATGATCTGACATTTCCACCCTGCCAGGCATGACTGCCTATCCAGAGAACCCTCTAGGCCCAGGCGGGCCACAGTGCCCTCCCGCTGCGGAAGATGTTAAGGCCTTGCGCTGCCCCCTGGTGGCACCACGTGTAGGAGGGTAGGGCTCTCAGCTACTGGAGCTCAACCCTTTCCACTACTTACAACTGGGAAGGCTGAGGGCTGGAGAAGGGCAGGGTCCCCACCCAAGCCAATGGACAGCAGGGGCCAGGCAAGGCCAGGCTCAGTGGCCCTCTCTCCCACCACTGCACCGCCCCTTTCCCCTCCCTGAGTCTCGTCTTTCCCAATTTCTTCCTGGCTTAGCAGAAGTACCACACTCAGAGATGAGAGAACAACTCCAAATTATCTTTTATTTATACAAAAAGGGCATATTTAGCAAAAGACACTGAAAAAAGAGTCGCTATGGCCCAGGAGACAAGGCAGGGAGGTGACAGGCCTTCGGAGGCCCTGCTAGGGGAGGAGTCTGGGAAAAGTGGTGAAAAGTCCTGGGTAAGTGCTGAGTGGTGGGGGCCACAGAAAGGAGCAAGCTCCAGTTGGATCAACACTGTTGGCAGGTCATGGGTGGGACTCACAGCGACCTCGCTACTAACTCTCGAAAGAGTCCCAGTCAGTGCTGTCGACTGAAGTGAGAGCCCCCCTGGTTCCTGGAGGGCACCCACCAAGGGACACAGGACAGGAAGCCCAGGTTGGGAAGTGCAACTCGGGGTGAAGGCCAGGGAGAAGCAGGTGCTCTGCAGTGGCCAGGAAAGGTCCAGACTCGGTGGCGGAGTTGCGTCCTGTTACGTGCGGGCGTTCCGCTCTGTCTCTGCCAGGCATTCTCTGACTAGGGCCCGGGCATGGATGATGCCTGAGGTGGGGATGGGCAAGTAACATACAGCGGCCCTCCACAGTCCCACCCCTGCCCTCCACAGGAAGACCCCTCCCTCCACACCCCCTTTCCTTTCAGTGAAAGGGACCAGGACTATAATCTAATGAGGGGCCTAACGAGATTAGCGGCTTGGCTAATCCTCACATTTGTCCCGTTGAAAGACAAATGCTCTGGCTCCTTCCCCGAAAACTAGCTCAATTTCAATTCAATTCAAAACTCCTCTCTGGATAGTGACACTGGCCCTTGTCTAGGCTTGGCTCAAGTGGCCTCCAGATGTCCTTCCTTTCCTAAGGAAGGACTGTCCAGTGTTAGTCTCCTGAACAGGGAGGGTGGAGGCCTCACTTACCTCTCTTCAGGCGCTCCATGGCGCTCTTGCTGCCAGCATAGGTAGGCCGGATCTCTTTGCCCATCTCCTCTATGACCGATAGCAGGTCCGTGTAGGTGCTCTGAGAACCCTGGGCTCCGGGTGGCTTCATTGCCTATGTCAAAAAAGGACAGGACAATGAGTTCAGGCCCCGAAGGGACCTCCAGTCCCCATCCATAGGCAATCCCTCGTCCCCACTCACCTGCACATAGCCCATGGAGGGCGGTCCAAAGTCGTTAAACAGGGGTCTGAAAGGGGCAGCGGCTCCCGGCACCGAGCCCGATGGCGATGGGACACTTCCGGCTGCAACATGCGCGAGTAAGAGGTCAGCGCGGGGCCGGGACGCCTCCTCCCAGCGTTCCAAACCCCCGACCGGATTCGCTCGATTCCCTCCGAAGGGATGCTTCCAGGCGCTCAACTTCAGGGACAAACCCCTCCCCCTGCGCTCCACCAACTAGCCCTTACATGACCACGCCCACTTCACAGGCCAGCAAACTGAGGCTCAGCGAGGGTAGGCGGCAGGCCCAGTGTTGCAGAACTCAGGCCGTCTTCTCTTCGAGACCTCGACCACCCGGGCAGACGAGCAGGGGTAGAGCTGGATCCTCACCTGTAGGTACCGGGGTACCGGGCCCAGGGGTGCTGGAGCCGGGGGTGCTGCTAGGGGCGGGGGCGATGGGTTTGTAGGACATCCCCAACTCTTGGGTGCGGCGGACGCCGGCCGGCCGCTCCTCCGGGGTTGGCTGCTTGGCCGCTCAGCCGCGCTCTGATTGGTAAACCGGCCGCACGCCCCTGCTAAATAGAGCTCAGGCCGGAAGGGCGGGCGAGCACCAATGCTCTCTCACTCCCGATTGGTGCGCCAGGACGTCACTCGGGCCTCCTCATTGGCCGAGACCGACCCCAACAGGCCGCAACCGCTGCTGATTGGTCTCCGCCTTTCGGACCTCGCACCTGTCTGCTCCGGATTGGGCGGTAGCTGACGCCTTACGCAATTGGCGAGTTCGCGGTCCGGGCCGGCGCGCTCTCAATCCGATTAGTCCCAAGGCCCGAAAGGCGGGGCCTCGGAAGCCGGGACCCGGGTCTGGTCGGCCGCGGTTCGCGCGGAGGGGTCTTCCCGGCGCGGGCGTCGCCCTCACGCTTCACTCGCGCTGCTTTGCACGTCAGCTTCGCACTGCCTGGTGTCGGTCCAGCTGGGCCTGCTATCGCTGCCGCAGCCACCACCGAGCGCGCCTTTCCACCGCTCTGAGTGCCGGAGGACGCAGGGCTTTGACGTTCGGAGCCCTGCGTCTCACCCCGTGCGCTTTTACGTCACCTTTCACCGGTTCAACAACCTTTCCCCGGTCTGCGCATGCGCCCTCCTAAAGCCTTCGTTTGTTCCTATGGCAACAGATCCCTCACCAACGCTACCACCGCGCCTCTACCAATTTGCCTCGTCCTCCGGTCCAGGCTGATGTTAGATCCGATGGCGACCTCAAAGACCCCTCAACCTGTCCCCCAAGACCCCGAACCTGTGCCTCATACTGACAACAGCAGGAACGCTCACCTCCGTTGAATACTCACCGCACCCCGGGCCCTGTGCCAGACTGATCTTGGGTGAGAGCACCGACTGGAGTTAGGCTGATGGTTCGAATCTCATACCGCCCCCATCAGCGATTTCCTCTTGGGCAAGTTACTCACCTCAATATGCTTGGGTTTCCCCATCTTTAAGATGCGGACGTTAATAATAACTATCTTACAGGGTTGTTGTGTGGATAAATGAATATTCATAAGGAGCTTGTTTCATTGTCCTCTTTACTGTCCATTTCTCCATCCAGACCCCTCCCCTCAAATCTCATTCCTCACAACCCTAGATCTTAGACTCTCCTCCAAACGGTAACCCTTTCTGCCGGGCTACTTCTCCTCAAAACTTCACTGGCCTTGTGTACCCTTCATGCCCCAGGTCTGTAGATTTTCCTCATCTCCAGGACATTCATTCATTCATCCAACAGACATTTTCTTTTTTTCTCTCTCTCTTTTTTTAAAGATTTTATTTTATTTATTTGAGAGAGACAGAGCGAGAGCACGAGCAGGTGGGAGGAGCAGAGGGAAAGGGAGAAGCAGACTCCCCGCTGAGCATCAGGGAGCCCGATGGGAGGCTTGATCCCAGGACTCTGAGATCATGACCTGAGCCAAAGGCAGACGCTTCACCGACTGAGCCACCCAGGTGCCCCAACAGACATTTTCTGACTCCATCCTCCATCCCAGGCCTTGTGCCGAACACTGATGATATGGAAATAAACTGGCCATGGCTTCTGTCCTCAGGGAGCTCCTAGTCTCAAGGAGAGACAGACAGGAAAGCAAAGACACACTGTACGGTAAGACAGTGTGGAGACTGGTAGAGGATGCATTGGAACTTAGAGGAAGGAGCCTGCTTGGGGACATCACAGGAGTCTTCCCAGAGGAGGTGGCATTCAATTGGTGAATGAACAAGTAAACTGTGATATAGCCACAAAATGGACTATTTATTCAGCGATGGAAGGAAATCATCTAGCCATGAAAAGACACAGATAGGCATTTTACTAAGTGAAAGAAGCCAGTCTGAAAAGCCTGACAGTCCAGAAAAGACAGACGTATACATAAGGTAAACAAATTACTGGTTGCCAGGGGTGGGAGGGATAGAATTAAATGGGTAAAACGGGATTTTTTTTTTTTTTTTTACGACAGTGGAACTATTTTGTATGATACTGTAATGGTGAATACAAGCTATTAAGCATTTGTCATAAAGAGTAAACTTTAATGTATGCAAAATTAAAGAAATCATTGAGGAGGTCAGGGGATCCCAGGAGGGAACGCAGAATGTGACAAAAGAATCTAGCTGTATCATAAATGAATGAGACAGCTTCACTGAAGGGGTGGGAGAATAAGGTGCTAATCTGGAAATGAGTGGAGTCTGTAAGAATGAATGCGAAGGAACTGCAAGTAAGCATGTACTCTAGTTGGTGAAGTGGTTTCCTTGGCCTATGGGTTAACAATTCTGAAACCACTGCACACATATGCCAGAATTGAAAATTAAGTCAATTAGGATGGAGGAGTTCTCGTTGTTGGAATGAGAAGTGACGGGTAAGCAAGGGGAGGAGGCTAGCCTGATCCACGTGATAATGGGTTGGAATTGGAGACATCAATATGAACCCTTGTTTATTTATTTATTTTTAAAGATTTTATTTATTTACTTGAGAGAGAGAGAGAGCATGAGAGAGAGAGCATGAGAGGGGGGAGGGTCAGAGGGAGAAGCAGACTCCCCGCCGAGCAGGGAGCCCGATGTGGGACTCGATCCCAGAACTCCAGGATCATGACCTGAGCCAAAGGCAGTCGCTTAACCAACTGAGCCACCCAGGTGCCCCAATATGAACCCTTGTTTAGCTCAATATAGATACAGTCAGTTGCATAGAGAAATATTTAAAAATTGTATATACACAGATTAGTGTACATACATATCTCCTCTATCTGCTGAGAGGGCCTAGAAGCAACCTAGCACCCAGGTCTTGGTTTCTAATGACATTCTCCAATAAAATGAACCAGAGTTCCTTGGAGAAATGGCTAATTCTAAGACTGGGGCAGGAAATACACAAGATAATCCTATAGCATCTTATAGTACCAAAACGTAAGAAAATGCTAAAAATACAAAAAACAAAAAACCCCAAAACCCCAAATGCCACCATGATGGGTATATGCCAAAGGGACACAGGAGCCAGCTGAAAGGCCTCTCAGTGGCCAAAGCTGGAGCGATTTGAAAATTTAAAGTGTTGGATTATAACTTGTACAAAATATATACCTATGAGCCCAAATATATATATATATATTTGAATAAATAAAGGGAGAGAAGAGACAAATCTATATAGAAGAATTCCAAGTAGTTTGTGTAGATACTCTGCCCTTAATAAGGTAGATTATAACCCCTACCCCTTCAGTGTGGGCTGTACATAGTGACTTTCTTCCAGAGAGTGTAGTACATAATGGGAGAAAGAAAAAGTAATTTTATAGTGTAGAAATGTGACACACACACTACCTCACGCCGGGTGATCAAGGTCCACATCAATAGTGATGTCATGTTGATAGTATGCACCCTTAATTGGATGGCTTGAGAAGGGCACTTGACCTCTGTGGTCATCCTCCTGCCAACTCATTAACCCCAGACTAATGAGAGAAACATCAGACAAATCCCAATTTAGGGATGTTCTATAAAATACCTGAGGAGTCGTACTTAAACTGTCAAGATCATAAGGAAACAAGGGAAGTCTGAGAAACTATCACAACCAAGAGGAGTCTGAGAAGACATGATGCCTAATGTAATGTGGTGTCCTGGATGGTATTCTGGAAGAGCAAAAGGATAATCAGGGAAAAAATGATGAAATCTGCATAAAATATGGGCTTTAGGTAATAACAGTGTGTCAGTCTTAGTTCATTAACTGTGACAAATGTACCATTCTAATGTGAGATATTAATAGTGTGTGATGGTTAATTTTAAGTGTCAACTTGCCTGGGTCACAAGTGCCCAGATAGTTAGTCAAACATGATTTTGGGTGTGTCTGTGAGGGTGTCTCCGGGTGCAGTTATCATCCATTGAATTGGCAGAGTGAAGATATGGCCCTTCCCGTGGTGGGTGGGCCTTATCCAATCAGTTGAAGACCCGAATGGCACAAAAAGGCTGAGTAAGAGGGAACTTCACCTGCCCGACTGTTGAGCTAGGACATCAGTCCTCTGCCCTCAGACTAGAACTTACACCATCAACTTTTCTGGTTCTCAGGCTGTCGGGCTCAGACTGGAACCGAACCTCCAGTTCTCCTGGGTCTCCAGCTTGCTGATTGCAAATCTCTCTTTTTTTTTTTTTTAAAGATTTTATTTATTTATATGACAGAGAGAGACAGCGAGAACAGGAACACAAGCAGGGGGAGTGGGAGAGGGAG